AAAAAAAAAAAAAAAAAAAAAAAAAAAAAAAAAAGGAATGTGGGAAGAAACAGACAATTGAGAGCTCGCCGCCGCCACCCCCACCACACATTTCACTTAGTCTTATGTTTTCTGCATTCCCAGCTGCTTAGATCCTGCCTGTGATCCGATTGAAGTTTGGGTGGTACCTGGCCTCGAAAGACCCCTGTGTCCCGAGGGAGTTGTGAGGGGTCCTTCTTTGTCTTCACTTCATAGCACAGCCAGCTGTAGGGCCGACCAGGGAGGACGGGTTCATTTACAAAGTTGTAGTCGAATGCATGTCGATATATCCGCTTCATGGGATTTCTGAAGGCACAAGACAGAAAGGGCCCATGCACAGAGCGCTCCCCAGAGTCTCGGGGCTGATGTCCACTCAACACAGCTCCTGGACAGCCCTGGCCTCCCCCATCCCTCCACAGCCCTGAGAGTTTCTGCCGCCTTCCCAGGCAGGAAGACTGAGGAGACAGGAAGAGGAGATGATGGTGGCAGGGGCAGCAGGGCCGGGTGACCTCTCCCCGCTCAGGCCCCAGGGCTGGTCTTTCCAGGGGTACGTTCCCCACCCCCCAGTATTTCTGCCCACCCACTCCCCAACCCATTAGGAAAATGCAAAGGAGAATAAAACGCCTCACCTCCAAATAAAAGCTTTTAATCTTTCAGCTCAATTCCTTCCTGACGCTTCCCCTCTGCACGTTAACATTATTTGTATTTTATTTTATTTTATTTTGAGACAGAGTTTCCCTGTTGTTGCCCAGGCTGGAGTGCAGTGGTGAGATCTGGGCTCACCGCAACCTCCGCCTCCCAGGTTCAAGCGATTCTCCTGCCTCAGCCTCCTGAGTAGCTGGGATTATAGGCATGCGCCACCATACCCAGCTAATTTTGTATTTTTAGTAGAGACAGGGTTTCACCATGTTCATCAGGTGGGTCTTGAACGCCCGACTTCAGGTGATCTGCCTGCCTCAGTCTCCCAAAGTGCTGGGATTACAGGTGTGAGCCACTGCACCTGGCTAACATTATTATTATTTTTATTTATTTATTTTGAGACAGAGTCTTGCTCTGTTGCCAGGCTGGAGTGCAGTGGTGAGATCTGGGCTCACTGCAATCTCCGCCGCCTGGGTTCAAGTGATTCCTTGCCTCAGCCTCCTGAGTAGCTGGGACTACAGGCACCCACGACCACACCCAGCTAATTTTTGTATTTTAGTAGAGACGGGGTTTCACCATGTTGGCCAGGATCGTCTCGATCTCCTGAGCTGGTGATCCACCCGGTCGGCCTCTCAAAGTGCTGGGATTACAGGCGTGAGCCACTGTGCCCAGCCAACATTATTTTAAAGTCATGGTAGAACCGAATTCCAAGGCCCAGGTCACTCCTCTAAGTTCTGCAAGGTTCTGAGCTCATGTGATGCTGACCTGGGCCTGCAGGGGCCATTCCAATCTTACAGAGGAGGCGCCAGAGGCGCAGAGAGGCAGGGTATCCTGCCCAGGACACGGAGCTGGGCAGAGGGAGCTGGGGCCCCTTTCCAGGCCAGCCCTGTCCAGCCTCTGCAGCACGGGCCCTGCAGGAGGGAGCCATTGAGGACCCGCTCTCTGTTCATTCAATCTTAAGAGCATTTCTCCTGATCATTGCGTTTTTTTCTCACATTCCATGTTACTGGTCATGTTCTACAAGGTGAAGAGTGACTTTGGACTGGAACCTTTGTGTGGGGACCTCTGCTCACCCTGGAGTCATCCTTGGGTGACATGCTTTATTTTGTGCTTCAGAGACCATTCCCTCCCCAACACCCTCTCCTAAGACTTTGTATTTAAGCAAAGTCAATCTTACAGAAAACCCACCAAAGCCCTGTGAACAAAATGCCCGATTGCTCCCATCATCGCTTGGTCCAATTCTCCCTGTTCCAGAGCTGAGGAATGGGGGGAAGCACACAGAGGGAGCACCCTCCCAGGGTCACCAGCTCAGCTACGACTTTCAGGGTGGAGAACTTTGCAGTGGGAGCCACCATAGATCAGTCTGAACAGGGGAGTCTGAGCTGGGGCAGGCGGGGGAGGTGGCCCATTCAGAAGCAGCAGTGGGGCGACCACAGGGCGGAACAGAGAGCCTGGCTGAGAGTAGGGGGGACACGGGAACCAGAGGGGAGGGAGCCCAGGGCTAAGGATGGGCAGGGGCAGAGGAGGCCAGGACTGAGGCCCAGCAGGGCCACCAGGCAGGAAGGGGCAGAAGAGGATCTGCAGACAGAGCGGGCAGCCTACCTGATCTGTGGATTCATGCTCAGCCGCTTTGCTAGGCTTGTCCCTGTCCCGCTCTTTTTCAAAGCTCTGTAGTTTCACTTTCCACTTACAGTATCTTGCAGCTGGACAGCCCTCTTAAAGTGATGTTGCAGGGCCGTGTGAGTCATGGCACCTCCCCATTCCAGCTCAGGCACTGCTGTGGGAGGCCCTGGGGCGCTTTATCTTTCTCTGGCTCTTGCCCTCCTTCTGGTTTTCTCCAGGTGCCTCCCCCTGGCAGAGGAACCTCTCATAAAAACAGGTTGTTCTGTCTTTATCTGTCTTGTGCAGAACTCCAGGGAATTGCCAAGGGAAAGAGAAAGGCATTGCAGCCAGAGCCCGGGAGGCAGGTCCAGACCAGGCTGAAAGAGAGGCAGGTGCCCCCTCACCTGGTGGATGGGTAGGCTGGAGTCCCCTCTCCAACACCCCCTCCCCAGCCCTAATGTCTGTCCAGAGTTTGGAGCAGCACCTCCCAGTTCAGTGGGGGAAGGTTTAGAGACTCCAGTGGCGAAGGAAGCACAGACTCTGCACAGCAGGAATAAAGGTTCAGATGTGCCTTGAGTCCCCAGCTGTGTGCTGGCTGGGTCACACACCTCCCTCTTCCAACCTCCCAGTTTCCAGAGGGTGGGAGGCAGGTCAGCCCCTCAGAGGGACTGCGGTGTCTGTGACATCAAGGAGGTGAGGGGGATGTCTACAAACAGGCTTACTGCCCACAGGGACCTCTTAAGTGTTCCGTGTGGACCAAAAACATGCAACACACACACCACACACACACACACAGCTTTCTGATTACTTAAGTCCGTCTAACCATATTTTGAAGGAATGCATGGACATCGCATCCTTGAAATGATCTTCCTGAAGAGATTCCCTTAAGGGGAGTTTGTTCCAGTTGGAGACCCTGTGCTCTCTGTAGAGGCTCTGAACTCCTCTACAGCCTGCAGGCAGAGAGGGAGGAGGCTGCATGGGTGTTGGGGGTGCAGCAGCGCCCCTACCTGCACAGAAGCTTGTCCTGGGGATGGTTTTTGGAAGGTGAAGGTTTCTGTTGTCATCAGAAACAGATGGACAACCAGTCGCAGTGGCTCACAGCTGTAATCCCAGCACTTTGGGAGGCCAAGGAGGAAGATCACCTAAGGTCGGAATTTTGAGACCAGCCTGACCAACATGGTGATACCCCATCTATACTAAAAATACAAAATTATCCAGACATGCTGGCACCTGTCTATGATCCCAGCTATTCAGGAGACTGAGGCAGGAGAATCTCTTGAACCCATGAGGCAGAGGTTGCAGCGAGCCAAGATCGAGACATTGTACTCCAGCCTGGGCAAGAAGACCAAAACTTTAGCTCCAAAACAAAACAAAAAAAGAAACAGATGGACAGAGGAGAAGAGCATCCGTGTTACATAAGCAGTTCCGTTAACCAGGAACACACTTTCTAGAAGAAAATGTAATACTGGCGCTAGAACAGGGAGGCCTCACACCCAGCTCTAAGGCGGCGGTCAAGCCACAGTGGGGCAGGGACACAGCTCTGCAGCCAGGCGACTCCGAGATCTGCCCCTTCCTTACTGCGTGACCCTGATGTCTCTGGGCCTGTAATATTCCTCCTCTGTAAATGGACCACCCAGCTTATAGGATTATGGGGAAGATAAAAATGTGAAACTTTACGTAAAGAACTTAGCACAGTACCCAGAGTGTTAATAGAACGGAAGAAATGATGGTTATTATCATTAATCACACTACATTTTATTTATTTACTTTTATTTAATTAATTTATTTATTTTGAGAGGGAGTCTTGCTCTGTCACCTAGGCTGGGGTATAATGGCACCATCTCGGCTCACTGCAACCTCAGCCTCTGGAGTTCAAGGAATTCCCCTGCCTCATCCTCCCGAGTAGCTGACACTGTAGGCGTGAACCACCACACCCGATTAACTTTTTTTGTATTTTCAGTAGACACAGGGTTTCACCACGTTGGCCAGGTTGGCCTCAAACTCCTGACCTCAAGTGATCCTCTCACCTCGGCCTCCCAAGGTGCTGGGATTACAGACATGAGCCACTGCACCCAACCTGTGTTGACTTTAATAAGATTTGGTTTTCCTGGGGAGATGGGAAGAGCCAGGTTGGGGGCGCCAGGCTGGGGAATGGGTTCTAAGGGGGTGGATGGAGATAGCCACGGAGGCAGAAAGGGGCCTCTGCAGGAGGAGCCCGGGAGAGCGGGGAGGAGGCGGTGAGGCAGGGAGCACTGTGGAATGGGCCTGAGGGCAGGAGGAGCTGAGGATGATCCGGCAACAGCAAAGCTAGTCCAGGATGGGTTGGAGGCCCTCACAGGAGGAGCAGGAGGCTAGAGCAGCCAGACCGGGAGGCCCGGGGAGACCCTTCACTGCAGAATCTCCTGCAGCGTGATGTACAGGGATAGAGAGTTGTCTTGTAGTCTCTTCCAAGGCTTGAATGGCTGACCATCATTGTACACAAAGTTATCCCAACAATATTCAAAATCTGAGAAGAAAAAACAGGAGAAAGCAGTGAGGGCTCAGCAGGCCTCTCTCCCGGGCCCTGGGTCCTCCCCTCCCAGGCCAGGTCTCCTGGCTGCCACTTGCAGTCAGCACCAGCCTGTCCCCACAGGTTCCTCAGGGACACTGCCTCGCCCCACGCCATTGCAGACCCACCTGTCCCTCATGCCATCCCCTGCCACCCGCTCTCCTCAGCCCTGTACATCTCACCTTCATAGCCCATGATCAGCACGGAGGCCCCTTCCTGACTCAGCCTGCGGAGCCCCTGCCGGAAACTTGGATTCCAGAAGTAGTAGAGGTGGGCAGTGAAGATGGTGAGCCTCACGTTTCCGTGTCTGGCCAGGAACTCGGCCACCTGCCCTGCACACTCTGGGCAAGGGCTCCAAGAGGCATACCAGGTGACCTCGTAGTCCTTCTTAGGAGACAGCATGTTGTGGCGGAACCAAGACAGGAAGCACATTTCTGCATGACAGAAGGGATCAGAACCCACCTAGAGAAGGAGGAGGAGGGGGTGGGGGGAGCTCAGACCAGGAGCAGGAGGATTGCAGGGGTGGGACGATGGGAGCACAGGGCAGGCCAGGAGCCCCAAGACATTTCCTTCTTGATGTATTTTGAGACAGGGTCTCTCTTTGTTGCCCAGGCTGGGGTGCAGTGGTGAGATCTGGGCTCAGTGCAGCCTTGACCTCCCAGGCACAAGGAATCTTCCCACCTCAGCCTCCTGATTAGCTGGGAGTGCAGGTGGGTGCCACCACCCCTGGCTTATTTTTTTTGTAGAGACGGGGTTTTGCCATGCTACCCACGCTGATCTCAAACTCTTGAGCTCAAGTGATCCTCCTGCCTCAGCCTCCCAAAGTTCTGAGACTATAAGTGTAAACCACCATGCAGGGCCTTATTTTATTTATTTACTTTTAATTTTTATGGGTACATAGCAGATGCAAGGGCATTTTATTGACTGAGTTTCCTTCTTCCATCCTTCTCCTTCCTTTGATTATTTTTATTTTTTCCCAAGACAGAGTCTTGCTCTGTCACCGAGGCTGGAGTGCAGTGGGGTGATCTCGGCTCACTACAACCTCTGCTTCCCGGGTTCAAGCGATTCTCCTGCCTCAGCCTCCTGAGTAGGTGGGATTACAGGGGCCTGCCACCATACCTGGCTAATTTTTGTATTTTTAGTAGAGACAAGGTTTCACCATATTGGCCAGGCTGCTCTCAAATTCCTGACCTCAGGTGATACAACTGCCTCGGCCTCTCAAAGTGCTGGGATTACATTGAGCCACCACATCCGGCCCCTTCCTTCTTAATTTGATTGACTCTTTCCCTGTCTCAACACGGCCTCGTGTGTGAATTCTGGCATCCATTCTCCCAGGCATCCATTCATGAGGCATCCTCAGCCCCTGCTGTAGTTTGGCTCTCTGGGGTCTGCCTTGTTACCTGCCTGCCTTTTGCTAGGGAGGTCACTGGACCAGCATTGCCCCAGGGAGTTCAGGGTTGGCCATGGGGGCTACCAAGTACCTGAAATGGGGCTCTGATTAGAGATCTTGACATATCTCAGAATAAAATGAACTTTCACCTCTCTGGTGAGGAATTTTATATTAATTATATGCTGAAATTGTATGTGAAAGATTCGAGCTAAGGCAGACATTAAAATTACTTTTGCCAGTTCTTGTTGCTTTTTGAGCATGTGGGGACTAGAACCCCTTCAATCCTGAGTCCTGGGTGTTTCCATGGCCAGCACCACCGTCAGCCAGGCCTGCCCAGCACACGGACGGCTCCCTCCCCAAACACACTGTGGAAAGTCTCCTGCCTGGGTGGAGGGGGCCGCAGGGGTGGGTGGGCATGACAGGGTTGGGGGGAGGTAAAGTGGCCGGTGTGGCAGTGGAAGGGTGAGGAGCCAGAGTTCACCATCCTGTGATGATATGTCCTTGACATCCAGGAATCAGGGCAGTGGTGGGGGCGGCCACACCAGCCCAGCAGTGACTGACCCAGACACCACGCTGGACACCCCACACCCTGCATCCCACAGCTGCTCTCTTCCGAGGACTGCTGGATTCACAGCTCCATGACAAGATTTTGGGAAACAAAGTCAAGAATCAGGGCGCTGGGCTCCAAACAAGGCCTTTGTGAAGGGGAAAACCCCTCCATGATCGGATCCCAGGAGAGTCAGGCAGGAAGATCTGGGCCAGGGACTTAAAAAATGTGGGAGGGCATTGGGCATGGTGGCTCACACCTGTAATCCCAGCACGTTAAGAGGCCAAGGTGGGTGGATCACTTGAGGTCAGGAGTTCAAGACCAGCCTGGCCAACGTGGTGAAAACCCATCTCTACTAAAAATACAAAAGAATTAGCCAGGCGTGGTGGCAGGCACCTGTAATCCCTGCTACTCAAGAGGCTGAAGCAGTAGAATTGCTTGAACCCCGGAGGTGGAGGTTGCAGCGAGCTGAGATCATTCCACTTCAGTCTAGCTTGGGCAACGGAACAAAACTCTGTCTCAAAAAAAAAAAAAGAAAGAAAAAGGAAATGTGGGAGAAGAGAACACGCTGGAGAGCCCGCACCAGGCATGCTGCTTGTTGTGTTTTCTGCATGCCCAGCTGCTTAGCTTCATTTTGGGGGTGTAACTAGGACTTTGGTGCTACCTGGTTTCGGAAGACGCCACTCTTCCAGGAGACAGTTGAACGGTTCATTATACCTTCCACTGTGAAGCACAGCCAGGTTTCATTCCGACCGTAGGCTTTCCGTAGGTTTCTAAAGTGGAAGTTGAATATGCCTGGATACATAGCATTCATCGGGTGTCTGAAGGCACAAGAGAGAAACCTGCCAATGTGGAGCGGCCCCGGGTCCTCGGGGCTGATGGCCACTGAACCCCACTCCCTGGACAGCCCTGGGCTCTGGGCCTCCCACATCCCTGCACAGCCCTGAGCATGTCTGCCCCTTTCCCAGTCAGGAAGACAGGGAGAGAGAAAGAGGAGGGGATGCTGGCAGGGGCAGCCAGGTGACCTCTCCTAGCTGGAACCCCAGCTCTGGACCTGCCAGTGGGCCACCCTCCACCTCCCAGTTTTTCTGCCACACATCTCCCAACCCATTAGGAAAATGCAACAGAGAATAAAACTCTCCACCCTAAAATAATTGCTTGAACATTTCAGCTCAGTCCCTTCCTCACATTTCACCTGTCTGATGACAATGATGATTCTTTTTCTTTGGGATCACACTGAATTCCCAGGCCCAGGCTACTCTACTCTCCTTTTTTTTTTTTTTTTT